GGAAGTTGGAGAAGCAATTAAAACGCCCTTTGATTGGTTCGAAATCAAAGTGGAAAGTTGACAAAAGGAAAATGAAGCCCCTTCCCCCGAGGCCAGCTTTCAAATGTAACGCTTATCAAAGCAAATAGGCACATTAGTGAGGGCGACGTGTCGGACTAGATCCAAACCGCGATAATTCAGCGTTGGCGTATTTAAAAAATCCCAATGTTAGTTTGAATGACTGGCAATTGTTATTGGCAAGAATGAGCAAGTTTTGAGTGGGCCAGGAGTGAAACCCAGCCTGGTAATTAACAACTCAATCTCCGAGTTAAGAGCGGTCTCTTATGTGTGACAGCTACATTATGATATATCAACAATGGTCTATTAGAACGTATGATTGAAGCCGTAGTTAAGCGAGTTTGAACATTGGAATGAAGGGCTCTTAACGATCTAAACTTCTCGCTCGGTTGGAGCTTCGAGGCTCCGTTAATTCAAAACGCGCATAACTGACTTAATTGATATTAGTAAACGTCAAGATTTTGGAAAACGTTAAGTTAATGACGAGCACCTGAGGAGAAGAAATGATTTTTACATTGGCATTCATTTGAACAGATAACATATTAAAGCGTGTACATATGAGCGGCCATCCTGTGATGAAAGCCGTTAGTTCTTCAACATGATGAGTTCATCCTATGAAGGCTAAGGATGTCACGGGGCCACTGCAGGTCCAAATGGTAAGATAGTTGATGACAGGTTTTTGACAAGGGGATTAGGATGATAAGGTTTAGAAACCGTTAATCGATAATTATTCAGAAATCGTGAGATGCGGTCTGGTGTGATGTAGGTTTCAGAAAAACATTTTCTTTATCGTGCCAACGTTTCGATCTTTATTGAGATCATCTTCAGGGCCTGGGATTTACAAACATTGTTTACATATTACAATTACATTTTGGATGTGGAAAAGTGAATTTATACAATATATATTAAAATATATATTAAAAAAAGAAAAAGTAGGAAAAATTGTTGCACTCTTAGTCAGAATTAAAAAGAGTTTTTTCGTGTTGCCACCGTAGTTTTTTTCTAATTTCCTTGATTCTGAGTTTTTACTATTCCATTTTGTTTTTTAAAGTAAATACATGTTCTATGGAGGATAGACCACTAAAGCTAACTGGATTTGCAGCCATATTAAGAACTTTATATATGAAAACGAATGGCTTTAGTATTTAGTAAATTATAGTATTTATTTTGGGTCAAAACTTTCAAAGCTGTATGTTTAATTTTTATAGGTTGAGAATAGTTAAAGTTTTCTTATCCTTTCTGTGTGCCAGGGCGCAGGTTTTTGTTTATTGTTTAACAAGTTTAAAACAGCCTGTCATTTAGTCGCTACGGTTTGGTCTGCCTATCTTCCCTCCTGTGTTGATATATAAGATCACCGTTTTCTGTGTTTAAGACTACATGGAGAAATCTCACACAGAAAAAATAATATAAAAAAACCTTACCAAATATTTAAGAAAAATTAATCCTATTATTCGGCTTAATAAACAAAATCCTTCTAGTTTCAGACTTTTATGAAAAAGAAAATAATCTCATTTTTATATAAAAATATTTTCTTACTAGAGAAATATAAACAAAATTATTAGTTTATAAGGAATCAGAAAAAGTTACTTTTTAAAACTAAACATTACCCTCAAAGTTGTACCTTCGTGTACGATAATGTTGTTAAAAAATAATAAAAAGTGATTTTCTGAATCATTTTTCCCACGTATAACAACCTAGAGAGCATCTAGTGATTCGTTACTTTCGAAGGATCCAAATAAGGGCGAAGAAAATTTGTTATAATTATTCTTCACTGCCAGACATGCCAGACTAGCTTTCATAAATCTTTCAACTCGGGGAAAAAAGTACAAACAAAACGCTGGCCACACGTGTTTGCTACATATTTACATAATTGTCCCTTATTTATCAGCGTTTTTGTACACAACGATGGGTCGGGAATGGCCGTTTCTTGGAAACATCTGAACTCAAGGAACAATTGTGTTGATAAGCAAGGAAGTCCTGATGAACCCGATATAAAAATGATAAGATGTTTAATTAAGATAGTAATAACTTAAATTCTCACGTAGGTGCCTGAAAGGTGCGTTTGTTTGGGAGAAAGGTGAAGCGAGAGTGTAGATAAGTGGCAGCTATGAGGAACTGAAACTTACCACGCCACTCGATATCTCACGCCATCTCTAACGAGTGTAACTCCGTCGCCGCGATGACAACTTTATATCCTGACGTGATGACATCGAATCGAACACGCTTTGTCCACTTAATCCAAAGCATGACAGTCTAGACGAAAGCCTCGATCGAATAACGAAGCCAATTTTCGCTCGGACGCGTAACGTCAGAAAATTTCTGTCTCGTTACGGCTCCCCTTGGAGGGGGAGTTGTTTAGCGCATTAGCCGCTATGATTAAATAGACGTTACGCACATCGGTTATCATTCATGTATAGAAGAATATACACATGTATATTTTTTGTATTTGATATACCATGACTCCACAGGCTGAGAAAACGACTACATTTTATTTCCTTTTGAAAGAATATAAAAAAGAGTATTGCTACATGAATAAATTGGGAAGGCCCAAAAATAGAATATAGAAGCATGAACTGCCCTGTAATTGACTAAAAAATGATAGCATTCCTCACTGAAGATGCAATGCCGAAAGGCGTTGGAGTAGTTCCACAAACCGTTGAGTGAGACGGACCCAATAAGTGACCGAAGCAGTATTGTGCTAACAGCGGTATTCACGATCTTTGTGTTAACCATGTTAACTCTGTTAGGTCCTGTTCGATCGAGAAAAATGATGACGTAGAATTGTAAGAACCGGCTAGTTAACATTACTCGATCTAATAGGCCAGGGCCAATGTTAGATGTTAGGTCGAAAAGGTAGTCACTTTGCTATCCGTTAGGGCGTAGGTAACCAACATGGCAGCCATGAATTTAACAGCTATTTTTTGTTTACGCGTATTTTTGTTCTTAAGTACGCATTAATTAAATCAGACCAATATATTTCTTTTGTTAATTTCTGACCTGCCCTTATACTCTCATTCATAATAGATACATCCCATATCCTATAAAATTGTAGGCTGTTAGACGTTAGGATAGAAGTTACGTATGTCAGCACGAATTGAAGCGTGTCATTTGTTAGTACTTTTCGAGTACATTTTGAATGAAAGTGTCGATTGATTTTCCTTTTTTATTAACTTCTGGCATCTTACAATTTAACACAAACCAAAACCAAAACATACAACAACATGCGTTTAAGGACTGTTATAGCTTTATTTTTGGTTCTAATAAAATTATAAATTCATTAATCAAACAAATTGATAAATTGCAACTAAAATATTTACCAAAATGTCTCAATCCCAAAAACGAAATGAATTTTTGCCAAATTAGAAACAATATCTAATCAAAAACGATTGGTCTACTCCCCGTCATAATAAATAATAAATTAAAAGCCTTGATAGACTGAGGTCCAAATATCCCTATTTATTTTTGCGTAGCTCAAAATTAAAAACATTTATGGCCATGAAATATTGAAACAGCAATTTTCAAACCAATAATTTAAGAACATATAATTACACTTTAGGAAAGTTAAATTCATCTGTAGGGAAGACCAAAACGATGGTGTATTCAAAAAAGTCACTTTAGGTGTGTTACATTTGAGCAGTAAATTTGGGTTATATTCTTTGTGCGTTCCTCGGTCAGGTTTTCAGATATAAAAATATGCTTTAAGTGTAACAGAAAGTACTTCGACCAGTTTTAGAATTTAAAAATTAATAGCGGTATTCACGATCTTTGTGTTAACCATGTGTTAGGTCCTGTTAGATCGAGAAAAATGGTGATGTAAACTTGTAAGTATCGGCTAGTTAACATTGCTTGATCAAACAGGCCAGGGCCAATGTTAGATGTTAGGTCGAAAATCTAGTCACATTTCTATCCGTGTTAGGGCGTAGGTAACCAATATGGCAGCCATGAATTTTATAGCTGTTTTGTTTACACGTATTTTTATTCTCAAAAACGCATTAATTAAATCAGACTAATACATATTTCCTTTTGTTAATTTCTGACCTGTCCTTCTACTCTAATTCATAATAGATACATCCCATATCCTATAAAGTTGTAGACTGTTAGACGGTAGAATACAAGTTAGGTCGGCACGAATTGAAGCGTGTTATTTGTTAGTACTTTTCGAGTTCAAAGATAGCATTTTGAATGAAAGAGTTGATTAATATTTCTTTTTTACTTACTTGGTACTTACAATTTAACAGAAAAGAAAACCAAAACAAACAACAACAGCGTTATAGCTTTATTTTTGGTTCTGCTAATCACCACGCGCAGCATTGCGGAAAAATTAACGTTTAACGTGCTAAGAAAAGAAGGGGGTGTTCTCGATCTTGCTGGACATTTCTTTATTCGAGTTAACATTTTACACACATTGTTAATACCTCAAATTTATACTGTGCGCAAGTTACGCGTTATGCGACGACACAAATTCGAAGAATATGAGGCCCCTAAAATTATCTAAGTCCTGAGAAAATTATGGCAGATATATATTTCATGTATTTAAGAGATATTTTATGTTACATCAAATTCATTTTTTATGGGTTTTCTATCTTTTTATATCCTATTAAACGTGCAATAATACGATTTTCACTCGCCTTTAATTTGGTTTTTTAGGTCCGTTCCGACTGAAATGGGAACCGTAACGAATTTGACGAGAGTGAGGCGGCAGCCTTTTGAAGATGTTTATTACGCTTACAAAGCGAGCCAACATTTATTATTTTTCCCCTTTCGAATCACCCGGCCGAGAATTATTCCTCCTTTGAGAAATACACGGGGTCCTGTAACAAATTGTTTAAAAAAAACACACGATACACTTTAGTCGGGTTTTTTACACATAAATGAATTTATTTTATTAAAGTTAATTCTGTCCCATGCCAACGTCAAAGCTGATCGATACCGTTTTGTTACAGCCACCCGGGCCCAGGTGGAGACGGACGTCGCCCTGTACATCGGCCTTGCTGTCGCATGCACCGTCTTCGCCGTACTTTCAGCTCTCATCTTCAGGCTGTTCAGAAGGAAAGGGCGGGATCACAGCATGTACAACATGGCTGTTTCAGGTAAAGTATTCTTATTTATATTTTCTAAAAATAATTATAAACTTTTAAAATTAATTATACTTTTGATCTAACGTCTTTTTGAGATGAAAAAGCTACCGTCTTGAGCAGGGTTCGAACCCACACCTTCGACGGAATACGCTTTAATACTAACGCTTGAGCTATCCATCCGGACACCAATCCTCATCTCAACTGACAACCTTTAGAATTTTCCCTCTTTTTGACATATTTTCAAATGTGTGCCGAAGGTCTTGGGTTCGAATCCAGCTCGTGACACTTGCTTTTCAATTCAACTAAGACCTTAGATTAAAGGGATAATTAATCTTATCTCTCTTTTTGGGTATCTCTTTTTCAATATAAATTTAGGGACAACCTAACGATTTTTAATATACTTATAGTTGTCAAATGTGAGAGGGAACAGGTCCCGAAATATATACGCAAAAAGAAAAAAACAGATTTTTACATTTTACCAAAAAGAAACCCACATCCATTATTTAGACATTTCCTCTTATGTACGTAATAACAAATGAGATTTTAGAGATATTCCACCCAATTGTTTTAATGGTGTTAAAAACGAGTTTTCTGATGTAAGTTCAAGACTTCAGCTACAATCCGATAATGATAAAAAATTAATAGAAAATGAGGGCTTTCTTTTTCCAAAGCACTGAAGCCTTAACGTCAGTTCAACTGACTCAATCCTTTTCTTAAGAAGTAGTAATTCATGATTCCATTGAGAAGTTATATTTCATAATGAAATAATTGGCAGTTTATCTTCTTCAATGCATTGAGTTGAAATCGGGTCGAATAGGGTTGCTGGGCCGCCTGGGAAAAACCGTAGTAGTTGACTGGGTGGGTGTCTCGGGTCGGGTTGGAGGGCGACGAACGTGCAGACGAGGCGGCGAAAGCTGGGACGTCTCGCCTCCGACCTAGTTACCGCGATCCGGCCTGGTCAGGCTATACGAGCAGAAAAAACTGCTTAAAACAGCGTTGACAGCATCATTGCGCGGGGTCGTCCGAGGAGCTCCAGTGCACGATTGAACGTTGGCCTCCTGAGAGACTGAAACGAAAGGAAAGGGTAGTGTTAACTCGGCGAAGGATTGGCCATACACGGACACCTGCTTTTAGGTCAAAACCCGCTCAAGTGTCCCGTCTGTAGAGAAAGATTGTTCAGTGTATCACATCTGATCGAAGAGTGCCATGCTTTACCAAGTTACAGGGAGCGAGTGGGCATGAGCCCTACATACACCCGATGCAACGCTATGCGACGCTACCTGATGCTACCCGACGCCTTGCCACGTTTTGGTAGGATGTGCACATCTATGCAACGTCAAGCGCACGCCACGTACAGTCACATAGCGTGAAATACAAATCAGTATCACAATCGCAACTCCTCTTTTTTTCTTAATGCATTATAATTAATTAAGGTTTTTAGTTGAGATGAAAAAATGTTAATGGCACGAGAGGGATTCGAACCCACGACCTCCGCCTAGATACGCCGCTGCTCTACCACCTGAGCTATCGTGACCTCGATCCTCTCGGTCATCAACTCCCCATCTCAACCCCACCTTATGAGTTTTCCCTCCTTTTGCCATTTTTCAAATCCCTCTCGTGCCATTAACTTTTTTTCATCTCAACTAAAAACCTTAATTAATTGTAAATAATTAATTGGTCAAGCGGACCACGAAATTAGTGAATTTAATGCATTATTTTGAGCAAACATGTATTAAATTGTCAGTTAAATTTTATGAGCACAACCATTTAATAAATTGATAGTTAAATTTAATTGTTTTAAATAAAATTATTCCTGTGTTTTGCTACATTTTCTGTCTAGCCATCATAATTAAAATATTTTTATAAAAACTTATGAATTTTTCATCTTGTTTAATTTGGTTTATATTAAAATAGAAATGTTGTAATTAATATAATGACCAAATTACACATATTTAGTTTGAAATAAACTACAAAAATATGAGTGTCCTGTTCTGACGCTTCTCGACGAAAACGGTGTAATTTTATGAGCAAAACCATGAAATAAATTGTTAGGTAAATTCAATATATCAAAAAATGTTATTCCGGAGTTTTGATCAATTTTCTACCAAACCATTAGAATTCATTTTTTTAAAATAAAAATTAAATAATTTTTGATCTCGGTTAATTTGGTTTATATTAAAATAAGTATGTTGTAATTAATATAACAACAATAATACATGTAGTTTGAATAAAAACATGAGTGTCCGGTTCTTTTGTCTTCAACTGTACTCGATGCTACCCGACGAAAGTCTGGAGAGTGGGGATCGCATAGCGTAGCGTAGGGTAGGGTTGCGAGGCATCGGGCAGATGTGCACGGGGTTTAATACAATCTTATGGAAAGTTTGACTTTGGATTTGCGTCGGGTAGCGTCGCATAGCGTTTCATCAGGTAAGTATGTTACCGGCTTAAAGATGGTACTCGGGTGGGCAGATCGAATATTGGGTCCCCTGTTCCGTTGTTAAGAAAAAATGCAGTATTTACTTATTTTTACAAAAACAAAATTTATTTTATTTATCTGAAAATTACATTAATGGATGTTGACAGAAAATAACATTGAAAAAGGAAAAACCACTTTTATTCTTAAGTAGATTGCTTGATAAAAAGAACAAATTGGATTTTTCGACATAACAATAAAATACACTAGAAATGTTGGATATATCATTTTCTTATACCCAATAATATCGGCCAACCTTTCGACCAAGATTGATTCTCGTGTTCATATCATGTTTTCCTTTTCACCAGCCACGAATCCAATATAAAACGTCTTACATACAAAACAATGGGAAAACGATACGTCGCGGTTGAAAGGGGTTTCATATTCCGCTCGCTTAACCCGGCGGTGATAAGATTTCTGGAATTTTTTTTCTCTTCTCCTTCAAGAAACTCTCACGTTTCTTAATCGGATTATTCTGGATTTTTATAATAGACTTTTACCGATCCTGACTTAATAGACGAGCTTTACTTTCTTTTCTTCATTTCCCTATGGTAACCAAAACATTAAATTTTCACGACAAAAATGAAATAAATACATTCTTCGCGAAATATAATGCCGCAAGCCGTGAAACGCAATCGGGTTATTTATTTTCCCAAAAAAAGGCATTTCTCATCCCACAAGACCACCGCTAGTTCCGTGAGCGAGAAAACAAAAATCCCTTGGAGAACCACTTAAGATACAGCGCAACTGCTTTAAGGGAAAACGAATTACAAAAGACAAGATTTCCATAAAACGGTACAGCTGCTTCTAAAACACGTTTTTTACCCCTTTTCATCCTCCAGGAGAGTGATTCCAGAGGATTTATTGTGTCTGTCTATTTTAAAATTTAAATCCTCTTCAAGAACCCAGTCTCAGAATAGGAGCAATTGGAAATTTTCTTTCAAATCATCATTTATCTGTTGTGATTCGAATATAAACAAAAATAGAATGGTAGTATGTGTAACTACCCTATTTTCAGTCTCTAAGATCTATAATTTCGATAATTTCTAAATTTCTTAATTCACAAAACCTTTCCCCTTGTTTGGTCTTCCCTAGATTAAGAGATAAGGACTTACCATCATTTTCACTGTGCCAAATCTTCTCCTAGACCTCCCACTACATTATACAATAACATATTTTTCTTTCCTTTATTTACTTTGCAACTGCTTACCAAATACAACAAACAAAAATTATGTTATTTACAAGAATATACATACTCATATTGTAAACACACTTACATGACTAGCGTGATTGATTTGAATGGTCACCACTCATTGAAAGTTGCCCTAATTGGCCATTATGGCGTGGAGTTAACGGTAGACTCTAGAGTTGCCATTGTCCCGGGTCTTCTGTGAGGGTTGGAAGGAAGAGTTGAGCTGGACAGGTTGCAAATTTATGTTTGCCATGAGAGGTTAGTTTAGGGTGAATTTTATTGTAGCGGGACTGGGCTAGGCTCGGGACTTAGTATGTATGGCGATCGGAGTGGATAGTATGTAGAATAGAGCATCAACTATTTTAGATTTTGTTAAGATTGGCACGCTTGTCCTCTACAGCTCAAGTCTGTAGGTACAAATTTGGGCAATTACGGTAGTGGATAATAATTTTAGTTAAATAATGGCAGTTTAGATCTATGGTCAAGTATACTCGTCAGAATTTTTATGTCTAAGAAATAATTTTACTGTACGCCCTCATCCTTTCACTTTCCATGCAGTGTTTCGACCCAACACAACAGTTTTTACCACGTTGACTGAGTAATTTTCGATCGACTACCAGCCTCAAACTAACCTATTAGTGGTCATCATAAATATACAAGATATACTTTAGTTATCAAGCATCAACAATTGAAGAATCTGTTCGTTTTGAGAAAGTCAAAAAACGATTGCCACATAACATAAGATTGAAGCATTGGAGCTTTCTCGTAAAGGCGCAAGATCAAATGCTATAACAATTCGTCTTAAGATAATCGAAGAGGGTGAATTTTCTTTCTATAGAACACTTTCAGAAAAAAGACGAAAAGCCTGAAGAAAATTGTCAGGAGGGTTTTTCTTAACCCAGCAGTCAACTTTGCTCATGTTAATCAAATTATGGGAGTACCGCAGGGCTGTATGATCGAACCAATCCTTTATACTGCAGATCCCATTACACCTATCACCATCCTTGTATCTTCCGCTGTTGACAAAGTTGTACTTCCTTCTTACCCCGAAGCTGCGGTTGCTTCAGAACATCTTCAGAGACATATCATATGTATAGCAGTTTCATTCACAAAGAAAAATGAAGATATATGAACCATGTCATATTTACATTCCGAAGCAAATCTACTACAACAATGTCCGACTGCGTTATTTACTTTGGGTTCCACCTAGAATCGCGCATAACATGGAATCAGCTTACCCGTCAAAAGTCGCTATGGTCTACACTACAAACCTAAAGCACGACAAGCCAAGCTATCGACGAAAACCAAACTGACAGTACACAACGTTACTACAACGGGTTTGGATAC